TTGAGATATCATATATGGAATATATTTTATTTTTAATTAAAAAAATATAATCAGTGATACTTTTTAAATTCTTTTTTTATTTTTTTTAATTTGGAAAATCACTGACAAAATATTTTTTTATTTTTAATCAAAATGTATTTTATCAATAATCTTTTTTAAATGTAGGTACTTTTTTGGTACATTTTTTTCATTTTATATATGTAAGTACTTTTTTGGTTCAAAAAATGTTTAGAGACTTAATCGCTGAAAATATGAAAGTTCATTGGGTTTTTTTTCCATGTTTTTTCTCTTACTTTATCACATTAATCAGTTTTATAGGTTATAAGAATGTATCTAACAAGTTTTAAAAAGTTCAAGGATTTATTTAACAGGTTTTGGAATGTCTAAAGACTTATTTGTTCCAAAAAATTGTCCAATGACTTAATCAGTCCAAACACTAAAGTCCATTAAGTTTTTTTAGATTTTTCCCAATTAAATAAGCTATATTGATATGTTCGAATTTAACTTAATGCTAACGAATTTACTTAGCTTGATCAGCCACTAAATCCTACCTTTTAGCATTCAATTGATATATGACCAATTTGTGTGATGAAATTGTAAATAGTCTACTAACAAATGCACAAATTAGGAATTATAATCAAACAATGATGTTAAGATAGATAATTCATATTTATTTTTATTTTATTTTTTCATTTGGAAGATTTAATATTGTTATTAAAATTTACAAAAAATAAACATCAATTTATCTTAATTCATTCACAGGGCTAAAATGGTAATTTATGTTATTCAGATTATTTATTCAACACAACAATTGATCATAATTCATTCTGGTAGATTAATCTCTAGAAGCAACTTAATATATCCAGTTCTTAATAGGGGGAAAAAAACCAAACACCCCCTCAGACATAAAATTGCTTACAAAGTACTGAACCGGGTCCATACTACAAATCCATACTACTTTTAGTTGCTATTTTCTCTCTTTCAACAATAGTTTATCCTTTCTTTTTGATGCATTTACTTTGAGATTATATTGTAATCGATTGGGACAAGTTTATTTATCGGATTTCTATTTTTAATGTTAATTTTATTTAAATGTTGATTGATTCATGTGAATGTTTGTTAGTCAAGAACCTGGATACGTAATTGTCTACTGATTTTGATGAAGTGACAATTGAACCCACTTGATTTCAATATGGTTTTCGAAATGGGTTCTTGAAATATGGCAATCAAAGTCGTTTTAAGTTGAGCTTATAATTAATTGGTGTTTTCTTACTTGCCCAATACAACTGATTGTACCTAGGAGTTTAAGAGCTTGTTTAGACTCTTATTTGTGATTAAGATTTGGTTAAAGAGCTTATTTTAACCGGTGTCTAGTTAAGGAAAAACTTAGATTGTTAGAATTTGTGTTGACAATTGTGGCCAAAGTCCATTATGTTACATCTACGAAATTAGAGATGGCCAAAATTTTGTCTCGGGCTAGGTTCCAAATACTATTCTCGTAACCGGTCTGGATCCCAAGCTTCCTCATAACCGGTTATGAGAACCGGTTCCAGTACTGAGCCAATCTCAAACCGGTCCTAACTTTTTTTAAAAAAAATTCAATCTTTTGCATATAATTTTTTTAAAACAATACAAAAATATTATTCCAATACACTTAAAAATATGTAATTAGATCAATCAAATATACTTAAAAAGAAAGATGAGAAGTAGGAGTTGTTAAAAACCGAAATTGAATAAGAGTCGAAATCATGAATTATAGCGAGAATTGTGAATGTTGTTTGCGTTTGTGAGTTAGCATCTTCCTCCATACATCACATGACTTAGGGGGTCGTCTACCTAAACACTTACCTGATAAGCGCTTACCGGTAAAATTCAACACTATTTCTTGGTAAACTATTGTTTACTTACGAAGGTTTAACCACAAGTGTTTGCAGTTCTAACAATTACTAGACTTTTTAATTCTTGTATTTTCTTTAAATTGTCAAATCAAGTCCCCAAGAATTTACCACTGATATTTTTAAGGCCCATGGATATGACCGTACACCGAGGATTAACAAAACATAAAATAACGTGCCCATCCAGCGTGCATGGCTTAATGCATATGTTCGCTTTATCTAACCTTTTTGTGCGAATTTTTGTTAAAAGTAACCAGAGTTATTATCACAAAAGCAGCAAATATCATATGACAATGCCAACATATTTAACTACATTTAGCAACGTATTATATATTTTTTTAATTGATATAAAAAAAACATTTGTTATTTATTATTATCAATTGTCAAAACAAAATGACAACAACATCAACTTTTTATAAGATGGGATTGCGAAACAACCAACTTAAAGGGGGTCAACTGCCCCTAGTCAAAAGTTAAGTTTTAACCCATCTCTCCTCTCTGCCCCCGGTGGTTTCCTGCCTTTGCCCAATTGCCCCCATTCTCAAAAATGTTGGAGATCATTATCCACTGTAGCACTCATGGAATCTTTTCTCCGTCCTCACTCCCCGTATAAGGGAATCTCCAATCATGAAAACCAATAATCAGCAAGAATCACTACCCTAACAACCAGTAGCAATGAACCATAAGGGTGGTGTCTGATTGGTTTGAGCTTGGCTCCAAAGGTCAAAAGTATCAGGGTCCAGGAGGTCTCAGGTTCAAATCCAAGGAGGAATAAAAATCCCCTTGTGGTCACGGATGTTCAAATGCGGTGACTCCCGACTATCTGTAAAGCAGGTAGTCACCCTGAGATTAGTCGACTCACATAGCGGATTGGATATCCAGGTTAATAAAAAAAAACGAGCAGTAGCAATGTAGCAGGTAAAGGGGGCGGAGATGGCATTACACGTCCCTAATAGGCTAATTTAACCCAATTTAATTTTTTATTTTATTTAGTATATGTATATAGTTTGCATATAAATAAATACCACAGAAGAAATCCTTCATCTATGGCAAGAACACATCTTCTAACATTAGCAATTTGAATCACACATGTCACAGAAGAGCGAAACTTGCAAACCATACAATTCCGATGCACAAGCATTATACTTCTGTTTTAATTTATGGGAAGATTTACTAAAGAGGTAGGTGGATCTGACAACAGAAACACCTTATACCTTCTTCCCCATTGAATAACCCAAATAAGAACCAGACATGAATTTTCCATACTCATCATTGCAGACAGTTGATTCAACAGCCAGTGTTTCAACAAGCGCAATTGCGCAAATGTAAACTCAAATCAGATCTCAAGGATAAGTAAGAATAAATGAACATGAATTAAAAATCAATATGAACTGAATCTAAGAGATGAGTCCAAAATATTGGAAATTATGCAGACAATCAACAAAGGCATCGATTCAATAACATTTCGATCAATGAAATCAAAATTAAAATCCGAAAAATTCGTAGTAATAGAAAATTGGCATCAGATAATAAGCGGAGTTATGTAGTCACCATGGTTAAATCAGTGAGTTAAGCATAAAACTGAGATTTCATCATATGCCATTTTCATGTAACAAATGAACAATTGAGAAGAAAACATGGATAAAATTCAAAATCGCATATGAAACACACTAACTAATTATCATCATTTTAGAAGATAACAATATAGGAAGGTCCATTTGACACGAAAACAATCTCAAAAACTGTAATGCGCTGGTAAGCCATCCTGAAATTAGCTATATGCACCGGTTATAATTCCTTGATTAGCTTCGATTTTCAAAAAACAAGGATAGAGTAAACCAGATGCAAAATTCACAGGCATGGAGATAGGAATCTCCAAAAATAACCGATTCTGCGGTTAGTATTGTTTAATCTACGAGAAATATCCAAGTTTCTAGCAAAACTAGTACAATCTTACCGTGAAAAAACCAAAGTGAAATGGATTTGGATACAAAAATCAATGAGCTTTATGCTCTGATCATCAAACAAAACAGTCGATTCAAAAGGAGTAGGCTAATGGAGAGGCAGTTCGGAAGAGATTAAATAGGATTAAGGGTAGCAACTAGTTAGGGTTTGCACTTGCGCCTTGCCAGAGACCAGAGAGACGAGGGAGAAGCCTTCATTAAACTGGGCCATAAATAAATGGGCTTTCTAATATAAAAAAGGTTAAACTTAAATACATGAAATTGGAACTTATTTTGGTAATTTTTTTTATTATATCATTTTATTTTTGTTTTTCTTTATTACAGTAATATACTTTTAAATTATTTTTTATTAACACACCTTACTTTAAAAAATCTACTTATTATAGCAATAGATATATGTTACCTTTTGATCTGGTTAAACCTTTGATTTTTTTTATTTGTGTGGCTTTAATGAGTTGATTTGGATGACACATAATTTTTTGATGACTTAATTAAAATAAAAATAAAAACCTATTTCAAATTATTATTAGTAATTTTCATTTTTCATTGTTATGATTTAAAAAAACATTTAATTTTTTGACTTTTTCTTATTAAGTTGCATGCAAATTAAATATTCTAGAGTAGAATATTTCTTAAATAAATATGTTACATTATTTTTTAGATATATTTTGTTTGTAAAAAAAGTAACACTTCTTATGTTACGTTGTTCAAAAAAATACATATCTTTTAAAGTTCTCTCTAAAATGTTAACGAAATAAATTGTGTTCTACAATCTATTAATATTGTTATATTAATAAATAATTCAAAGATATCTAATTAATGTAATATATTTATACGTCAAGTAAAAGTTTTTGAACAAATATAATATATTTTTTAAAATATAAAATTTTTTCGTAAAAAAAGAACAATTCTTATTTTCTCTTTTCCAAAAACACATATTTTTAAAAAAATATTAGCAAGATAATTGTTTTCTACTAGTTAGAATTTTTTTAGTTCATTTAATTTATTTATTAAATAACATGTAAAATATCTAAATATTAAAATTAAAAGTAAATTGTTTAATAAGAACTAGTAGATACTATAATAAAATAATTTTGAAAGTATAATGTTGTAATAATAAAGTCATATCACTATAGTACATGTGGACAGCCTACGTGGACAATGAGCTGGCATGGAAACCTGGTATAATGGGTAAATTTAAATCAAAAGGTTACCCAATGCTATAATCGGTAAATTTTTCAAAGTACAATGTTCTAATAAAAAATAGTTTAAAAGTACATTGTTGTAATAAGAAAAACTGGAAGTACAATGTTATAATAAAGAAATTTATGAAAGTAGATTGCTATTTTGTGCATTTTATTCTATAAAAAAACTACAAAATTTGGACCCATTTATCATGTAACACTTGATTTGGACTTCGGAACTTAGGGGTGTTTGGGATTTGCTTATTTGAAACAACTTATGATTTTTCTACAAAAGCACTTATCAACTTATTATAAGTCAGAAGGTTTTAACTTTTTCAAAAACTTCTTATTAACAGTTTGACACCGGTATAAGTTATTTATCCAAACACTCAAAAGTGCTTATTATCAGTGTCACACCGAAATAAGTCAATAAGTTGTTTTTATAAGCAATCCCAAACATAGTCTTAGAATGAAATTATATATTATATATTCAACGTTGTGAGTCAAAAAAATCATCAATTAAATCTTAGTTGTTTAAATTAAATCAATTAAATCACATATGGAGTTAGGGGTTTATAGGCTATTCAAAATTACAGATGGACTTTTTTCGTATCAACTTTTCCAATTCATCCTCGTGCAGATGTTAACCATTCGGATAACGGCCGAACAGATTATAAAACTTAAAACTGCAGACAAATTTAAGCAAGATATTAAGCACAACCAACATTTTGGACTTGACGAGTGATGACCGAAACTCAATTTTATTTGCTTTGGTACTTCAATTAGGTGCCGTTTGTTTTTTAAGATGTGCTGAAGTCTGAATTCACTTCTGAATTTTAAAAGGTGGTGCTGAAGTCTGAAATCTGAATCAGTCAGACTGTTTGTTTTTACGTCTGAAGTCTGAATCAGTCAGATTGTTTGTTTTTACGTTTGAAGTCTGAAGAAAAAGCTGCAAAGTTAAAGGAGATGCAAATGGATGCAGAGGTGCATGAAGAACAAAGATGGAAACGGTTGAAGCAGGCTGCTGATTTCGATGTGCTTTCACTTCTACAAAAGAAGTATTTTTTTTGAGCTGAAAGTGTAGTAGTGCCAATGGAGATTGTCGTTTATTGCTATTACTTGTTAATTCTTTTGAACCAAGAGAATTTCGTGTTCTTTAATATAGGACCAAAGGCACTGTACAAGATGCATTAAACAAGGAAGTTTCAAATGCATATATAATTAATCAATTGCAGCAAGTTTCATAACAAGAAAGCTAATGGGATTTGGGTTTGCTCTAATGTAAGAGCAAGTTTCAAATGCATATATAATTAATCATTGGAGATCGACTTCAATTAACCATGGTGGAAAGAATGAACAGAAATAGGAAAACAGTGAACTTGAAGGGGGCAATCTGTTCATACGCAGTTCCAAAGGTGGGTTGGCTAACTGTGTACTGTGCATATGAACAAAAACCCCTTATAGGATTTGAACTGTGGGTGATGCGATTACCTTCACAATAGATGAACCAGGAAAAATCGATATGAAGGTAATACAAAACAGAACTATTTTCCGTATGAAATTGTGAACCGCATAGAACTATTTCCGTAGGAGAAACAAAATCGAGAGCTTGAGAGGTAGAAGTGGATACCTTAAATCGAGAGATCGAGAGGTAGAAGACGGTAGGCGACGCAAGGATCGACAGGTAGAAGACGGTAGCTTGACAGAAGAGATTGAATGAGGCGCAGTGATGGAGAGCAACCAAGTAGGCGACGCAAGGAAATAATAGGTTTTAAGTGAAAATGTAAACTCTAATTAATTCAGACCTAATCAGAGCTTTTAAGCTCTTAATTGGAAAAAAATAAACACTCTTAATACCCTAAGGTTTGACCGATTCAGACTTCAGAGGGTATTAAGAGCTTTTTTTGGTAAAAACAAACACTCTTAATTACACACCTTCTCTATTCTCTATATATTTCTTTCTCTATATTTAAGGCAGGAGTCTACTCTTATCATGTGATTGTGTAGGGAATGATAGGAGCTTCATTCATTCTTGGCTGGCATATGCTAGAGAAGGACGTCTGTAGTTCCTCCAAAGAGAAAGGAACTCGTGGTATTTTGTGTTTTTTCCCTTGTGAATGTGCTGAATTAAGATTCCGATCTTTATTTTTTTTTTTTGTTATTCATATTTTCTATTTGTGTAAGTTGATCATTGTGCTTCACGAGCTTGCTCCCTTAGTAGACTTTGTAATTTGATTATTATAATGTATATATTGATAGATGTTTGTAGGACTCATTTGAGAACCTCCTGATTAAGATTATGGCTGCGAATATATTGAAAGGGGAACATAACGTAACGTGAATTCCAGTGAGTTAGGCTCGGATAATTTTCCAAGAAGGTAGTTTGTCTACTTACCACTTTTTCTATCTACATGTGTAATATCATTAGTTCAGCCCATAAATATTATTGGATTATAAGTGATGTAGGTTGATTTTTTTTTTGTTCTGATTTGAATGGTTATGATGAGGTTTGTTGATTTTTTTTCTTCACCGCTGACGAGAACAGTTAGGTGCTGAAAATGGTGTTATAAGTTGTCATATCATGGATTATCTTACTAATTGACGGGTATTGGAGAGGGGATTCATTTTTTAATTATTGAATATGGATCGTCTTTTTAATGTTCATAAATTTTTTTGGCTACATGTTCGTACTAAAGTGATGTTGCATACGATTTTATGTTCGACCAACGAACGGGTATAATAACATTAGTTAAGTTGGTCTAAAAAGACCAAAAATCAATGCAAAATCACTGTTTCCTATTTTCTTCCTCTTCATATTGAGAAACAGATGGATTATATGGATTTGTTTCAATTAATTGCAAGATTCATTGCATTTATGAATATAGAAACTGTTACGGTCAAGGGGCGAGGAGAGGCTTGTTAAAGAGAACGTGACGGTTTTAGATATTTTTTAGGACATGATCTCTAATAACAACTTGTAGAGACATAAGACCAAGGGGCTGTTTACCAAACGCTTACCCGGGTAAGCGTTTACCAAGTCAAATTACCTCAGCGGATGAATATGGTATAGACCAAGAATCTTACCCGGTAAGAGCGAGACAGGGACCAAGAGTCTTACCCGGTAAGTGAGAGGGACGACTCTTACCATGGTAAGCGCTTAATTACCGTGTAAATTGTTACATGCGATATCGTTTTGGTGGACTAAAATCTTACCTTGAAAGTTAATAATAATGTTAAATTTTACCAAAAAGCACTTACATGATAAATATTTAGTAAACGGTAGCTAAAGGTATAACAGGTAGGAGATAGGATAGGGTTGGTAAGTTAGACAAGAGGTGTGTAGCTTTCTTAAATTGGTTGTGTTTTTTTTTTCTAGGGGCCTCTATTTGTATGCTTTTGTTTCCTCTTAACCAACTTTTCAATTTTTATAACTCCGGACTTCCTCTCTTTGTTAATGTTTTGAACATATCACTTTACTTTTTTATAGAGGTCAAGTTTGCATACATCTTATCTAAAAGTGTTCATGATTCGGGCTAATTCAGTTAGTAGAAAAATTGTGAACCCAACCGCATGAGACGGATACTTGGCTACCTGAACCGTAGGTTGAACCGAAATAAGGCGATTACTACGGCTCCTTTCACGGTTACCAGAATTTATAAAATATATAATTTATAATATAGAAATGGTAATGAAATAATAACATTTAGAACAATTACATAACTAAATAAAAACAATCAAAAGTGCTACAAGTTAAAATAAGTTTAATTATTTAAAAAACATCCATTTTTCGGTTAAATGTCGATTTATCACGATTTCATACCACCAAAATCGGCCATCAAATGCCCAGTTTTTCAAAACATCAGATTATTTTTCGGTTAAATGTCGATTTATCACAATTTGAATGCCTTATTTCGGTTAATACTATATCAAGTTCAGTAGGTACCGTAATTTCCTGAAATTCAAAACCAAAATCGACCATCGAATGCCCTGTTTTTCAGTTTTCAGCCTTTTGATTTCCTGATTTCTCGGTTATCGGTTTTGGATCAAACGATGCAGCTCGGTTTCTCAATTTTCCAGTTTCTTTAGCACCCCCTAATCTTACGCTTTCCCGTTCCCATACCCGTTTCCAACTCATACATTTCATTTATCTTCCAGTCGGGACCTTTCAACTTTCCTATCACCTTACAGAAAAGGAATATATGAACAAATTTACACATGCAAATTCTTATATAATTAGGCTTTGCAAACTCATTATCCTTACAAGTCAAGCTTCGAAAAGCAGCATTATGCTGTTACCAGATGTCACAAATTGTACTTTTAGATTTCATCAACTAGCAACTAACAGATCAGGCTCCCTACGGCTCACTACATTAACCTCCCTCCTAAGAGATGAAAAAATTTCAATGGTGGCAACAAAATAATGGTTATTAATGGATCATAAACAACACTCATGGAGCCTAACATTTGGCTATCAACAACAACAACTTGTGCCAAATTGAAGAATGTACGAAGATTATTATGGTGTTGATGACTCTAATGAAGCTCGATCAACCTCAAAGACTTTGACATCACAAAGTGTTCCACCAACTTCATCAGCAAAACTTATTTTCTTCCCTTCTCTTTGTACAGGCTTCTCCTCGACTGTGATCACGCAGGCAGGATCAGATGCATCATCGTCCTCGTTCAGTTTCTGCAGATACTCCGTTATCAGATACATTTCTAAAAACCAACTTTTTATGGCCGTCATCCAAGCAATTAATCCCTTACAATTTTTTGAAAATCGACATGATTTGAACATTTTAAAACAAATTGATCACTACTTTCTAAATTAGTGGCCGTAGCAGCACGTTTGGGAGCTAAGTTCAACTGTTGAAAATTTAAACTGAAACTATTTTTCTAACTAGAGAGCTATAAAACAGATTACTATAATTTTTGCATTCTGAACGTATTTGGAGACGGGCTATGATAAAAGAAACACACACCATGATTTTGCAGAAACGATTGCAGTCCCTCGCCATCATGGATAACCATTTTCTTGCCGTTTCTTCAGTTTTTGTTGCACTCTTGATGGCTGATTTCACCTGTCAAAAAGTGTGATAATAATAGTCAAATACATGTGATGTATATGAATGCATCCCCCATAATGTAGACTGAACAAAGTACATTGATTATCCAGCATCCTCATGTAAAATTATAGGAAGCAAATATATGTGTGAATAATCATATACATACATGTGTGTATCTATATATGATCATGAAGCATATTTTCAGTTGTTAATACCTCATCTGCCTCATTTTTCAGGGATGAGGAACGGTATGCTTCATAGAGCATTTTTTCTTCTACAATGACCTTCATGGAATTCAATTCACTCATTAGCTTTGATGCAAGAGATTCAATATCATGCATCTGTCTCTGTGAAAATGCAATAGCACTCTCAGAACAGCCTTGAATGGAGGTGCACCCTGAGCTAAGACGTGGAAGTGAACGACATAGGCGGGGCCCATCAAGACAGCCTTTGGGTGGAAGGGATCTTTTGGGAGGAGACCCCTTTTTGAAATTCTTTAGTTTCTTAAGCATGTGCTTGGGGCTGATAACATCTTTGTTCTGGATGAGCCTGGTGGGCTGTTGAGGGTGCTTATTTGATTCACTATCCTCAACATCTGAATTAATTGATGGAAACTTGTTCTCAGCTTGTTCCGCGAAGTACAATTTCTCCTTGCATTCTGAAGATGAAAATCATATGTTAAGCCAAAACAAAAAAACTGTCGACTATAGGAAAATGTTCAAATGAGAACCATAAATATTTTGAAAACCATGTGAACAAGTATATGCATTGATCCATAGGCGAAGGATCGTGTGAGAAGTATAGTTAAGATGAGAGGCATGAGAAGGGATTTGGACCCTTGATCACCTTTAATCTCAAACCCACCCATAAATAACGCTTGATACAGGGATTGATTATGTGCATATTAGTGCATCTCATCCTAATGTGCATTCAACTTGGAGATCTTTTCTTATGCTTCTCACCTTAACTTTCCTTCTCACCAAAACCCAACCCTTGATCCATATACCCCATATGAATTTCATTGAATACATGCATCAATGCATATATATATATAGTACATAACATTGTTGGAGGGAGGTTCCAGGGAAAACCTCCAAAAAATAAAAAACTGAGAAACACCCTGGTAACCATTCATCTGGACAATATACATATGTGCATACAAGTAACTAAAGCCGTATTTTGGTTTTTATGCATGTATGCATGTTATGCACATGTGCATACAGAACAAATTGCTTACAAGTTACATGTATGCACATGTGCATATCGTCCAAAAGAATCCGGGGTGTTCCTCATTTTTTTCATTTTTTCATTTTTTGCAGTTTTCCCTTGAACCTGACCCTGAATATATTAACCGGCATACATATTTTGTGTGTTGTGACTTAGTGTATATGTATCAATGCATATATAAGCAAATACTGGTACTACGGTTCTCAAAATATTTTATGATTCTCTTTCGAACTTTTGACATCAACTAGAACCATATAATAAAGGTAATCTGTTCAAACAGTTAAAAAACATATTGTATCTATTGACTTACTGTAATGGTCCATGTCATCTAGCAACTCTGCAGACTTCATTGCCAAACATAGCTTTTCCTGAGAGGTTGGAGAAATGGTCTGTAAAATAACACGTGATAAGCATCTTTCATAATAGAAAATAATGTAACTCAATGATGAACTGACTATTGTCAAGTACCTTTCTTGTTGAAGGAAGCCTTTCAGAATGTCGAAGTTCTATGCAATCAGAGTTTCTAATCTCTGATGCCTTGGTCGTAATATCAGTTTGATAGTTGTGATTAGAGAACTTTACTTCTGAACCAGCAATTGCAGGGGAAGAAGATAGCTGCTCTTGAAGAATAGAAGTGTCCTCAGGAACAAAAGATGGCTGCTCTTGAAGAATCGAAGTATCCACAGGAACAAAAGATGGCTGCTCTTCAAGAATCGAAGTATCCTCTGGAACAAAAGATGGCTGCTCTTCAAGAATCAAAGCATCCTCAGGAACAAAACAATTGTTGACAAAATTCAAAGAGTTGGAGCCTGGATCAGCATTCACTGATGTTATATTTTGCTTCTCAGGAATAGCTGATTTGGCCTCAATAGATACCACGTGATCATCATCATCAGGGCTCGTCCAAGGATGTGACTTCAAAGGTAAACACAAGTAATCAGGCATCAGGCTCAAAGAACCATATTCCTGATTCATTGGTGAACCTTCTGCAAACTCCTCGACCATGTGTGAATCACTTACCTGGCCAAGATCCGCGCAATAATGATCGCCATCAATAGTTGATTCTGAATTTTGAACACCAAAGATGTAGTTGGTTTGTTCCGGTGTTTGCTGAGAGTTGGGAGAACTTTGAGAGCAATCAGATGTGCTTGCAGTCAGATCTTCAACAGAATAATCGTCTTCCGAAGAACTCACAATTGAAGGTTGCTGGTTGACACATTCTTCTTTGTCCACTTTAGATACTGGCAAATGCAGAAAATTATTTGCCATATTTTCTTCATTATCCAATTCCATGTTTTCCCCAATCATTGGAGAACCAAGAAAGGAATCCGTGATGTCATCCAAATTATCAAGTGAAGCTTCATTAAATCCACATATTTCCACATCATTTGTGAATGATCCTGATTCTGTGCTCTTCAGCTCATGATTGGTAAGTACAAATCCTGATTCAGAAGCAATGAAGTTAACTGACCCATCACAAATTAAAGGCTCGTCAGTCATGTGGGTCATCTCTCTGACATTAACAATTGCAAGATCTTTGCTGAACCGGAGAGCATCATCAGGACACATACTTGATTCAGATGCAGCAAATTGAGTACTTCTAGAAGATGTTGGAAAACTTCTATTATCAAGTACAAATCCAGATTCAGAAGCAATAAAGTCCGATGACACATCACAAATTAAAGGACCGTCAGCCATGTTGGTTGTCTCTCCATGTTCAAAGTCCTCAGGAGCTTCAACTTTGACATTAACAACTGCAAGTTTTTTACTGAACAAGAGAGCATCATCAGTACCTGTACTTGGTTCAGATGCAATTATTTGAGTACTTCTAGAAGATGTTGGAAAACTTCCATTAGCAGGTATCATCTTGGACCTTGAACTCTTTGAAGCCTTAACTCTAAATTTACACAATGGTTCACTGAGATCATGATCATCATCTTCTGCTTTTGGGGTTAGAAGAACAGATTCTGAAGCCTTCCTTTTCTTTCTTTTACACTTTTTCTTGAGCTGTGACAATGTCAGTTCCTCACAAGTGTTTTCATTTAATGGCCATTCTGGTTCATCCTCCTTGACAACGTGGCCACTTTGTGATCTCGTTTTTCGATCTGCATAGGGCATGGGTGTGCATTCATTTCCTGAGCTGCTACCATCAATCTTTGTATGACCATAACCATCCTGAAACTTACTGGTATGTTCAGCATCTGTGGAGTGATATATATCTTCTAGCTTCTTAAACTTGAGACCCGGCCTTCCATGTGAATCCACATTGAGAACTTTTTTCACCATGCCATCTTTTATAGACCAGATAAAATGAGAAGTACCGCAACCTCTTAGCTTCATTATATGACAACCAACCCTAGACTCCTTTGGGTATTACTTGAACACTCTATTGTAGTGTAATTGTTCTGCCCAAAAAGAAGACACCTGATGGAATTGGACAATGATTTCATAAATGAAAAGATACCAAAAATGTTATTCATATAACACAACTGAATATTGATGAGCAAAATGCAATTGTTGATAGCTTTAGATGTATAAAACAATCAAGCTTGACTTCCCACTGTTAAAAATACGACTTAGAGACAGTAGAAAGCAAAGAGAGAAAATCCTTAGCCTCAGCCCCCATCAAGAAAACAGAGTGTTGAGTATTAGAAATAACAAGAGATATGTCAATTTTAAGATCAAAGACCCATAGTCAAGCCTCGAATTAGACAATCAAACCACATAAATGTCTCCTTGAATAAAGGTATACAATTTGACTTAATTGTTGTAAGTCACTGATTATAATACTCTAAGCTACAGAATTATGAATCAACTTGCATCGTTTAGTAGCACTATACCACCAAATATTTATCAACTAAAAACCTTGATCAAAGTATATACTTGCATTGAGACTGTACAAACAAAAAAACCATTTAGGTGAATCAATTATTACTTCCACAAATAGAATGGCTTTGCATTAGCTTCAATTCTTCATATCCACATATATAACTATCTACTCATGTAATAAGATGAATCAAAAGTCTCATTTTAGATCAAGTACTACAGAGTACAGAGCATGACAACAACACGTAAATTACGAGAAATTTCGATATACCCCAAAACAACACCAATTTATAAATTCATAATTAACAGAAGTGTTCAACAGCCTCTACCTAACTAGATCGAGAACAAGCACGGTAACTATCTCATGAACTTCGATTCGGTCAAATAATATGGAAATCTAACGAATCTAAAAGAAGGTCTAAAACAATGACCGCAGTGTGTTTCGACAGAAGTTTTTTAGGATAAATTATCAGCGAAAGCTAATTGATAGCCGATAATTTCCCCTCTTTTGTTTAAAGTAGATCTGAACCTCGTTCCGATTAAGCAACAAATTTGTTTATTACAAGAACAAATAACCTAATTACCAAATGAAACTCGTAGCAGATCTATCAAACACATATAAAAGAATCAAGTAGACTCATGAAATAAGCCAGAGGTTGAAAGCTAGATGTTTTCAGATTACCTGAATTCCAGATTGCTTGTATTTCCTGCGAGAAGTGAGAGGCAGATGTGGTTGGAGCTGAGGTTGGGAGACGGAGGCGAAGACGAAGAATAGCGAGCTAATATAATTGGTTCAGATCTGGCGCCAACACGTTTGGCGGCAACTAGGGTTTTGAATTAGCAGAACCAAAAGAGGAATTGTCGTATGTAGTGGGTGTACGGTAATTCCGTAGAACCCCAAGGTTGCTTTGAGATTATCGTGTATTTTGAAATTTGTATTGAATCGTGTTGTTATCTATTGTTAAAACTAAAAAAAATACTCGCATAATACAATAATATATATTTTGATTTTAATATTTTGTTTTATTTTATCTTTCATCATCGATGTTATAATATTGTTTTATGTGGTTTTGAGAAAAACAATAATATTTTTATTTTTTAATAAAATATAAATTTAAAGATATTTTAAAATTTAAAAATATATATATTAATATTGGTATCAAATTAACTACTTAAAAGTTTTTGTTTTGTTGTGTAATTTTTTTAATTCAATTTTTTCTATTATAATTTAATTTAGGTTTAATAACGACGTATTTTTTTGATTTAATAATAATTTTTTATAAGAATAATAATTAAGTTTTATGTTATAGCACAGTAGTTATCTTAGTTATATTTTAGATTTAAAATAAAATATTTATCCAGTATTTGATTAAGTTTATCTGCATTTAGTTACACGAATTCAAGCATGGAGTTTTAATAAGTTGTACATATGCATTATTTACTTGTAAATTTGAATTTTAAGTAATATGCATAAATGAACAGTACTTTGTATATAAAAAATAGTTTTTAAGAGTTTTTGTCAAATGTTTTATAATATAGTATAGATAATCAGTGTTGTTTCTTTTACTTTTTAATCGTTCCATTAAAAGATAGTGAAAAGTCCAGATTTCATACGAATCTTGAAGCAATCTTCATTAAATCTCAAGAACAGAATATGAATTCAATATAGATTGGAAAGAGAGAATAATTGCTGTCARATCACCTTTTCTGATTAATGATGTAATCAATTGTGTGTAATTACAATTACACTGAAAAGACTATTTATACTAAAGAAAATAATGCAAAACTAATTACAATAAAACTAAGTAAATGGAGAAACTTRAATACAACATTTAAGCACTAATCTTGAACCCAACATTCTCCCCCTTTGGATTCRAGTTTGGACCCTTGTAAATTTCGTTTTGCGCAGTCCAAGAATCTTTTCAAATCTTCTCAGAGCATTTCGGTATTGAAGTTTTTCCTCGAGCAGATTAACGRCATTAACGAACAGATATCTTTCTTTGGCATTCATTCGCTCAGAATCCACARCCTTTTCGTCATTCACCAACTTTGAGTTTAAAGCCCTTTTTACYAACCTAATAGTGCCATCAGAGTATTTGTTTAGTTCACTGAATCTCATAAACTTCTTCTTCTGGAGTTGAGCAAAATACGTAACTCCGAACTCAGGATKKTCAAGAACCATGTACACTGGGTARCCATCAATGTCTTCAAGCTCTTGATTWGGTCTTTTGAGATTAATAACTTTCTGACTATCCTCAAGACCCATTTAAACATCGATAACCATAGATAGCTTGACATGGCTTCTGATAAATCTTTTAATTGCCTCCAGTGCTACTAGTTCTCCTTCTTTTCTGATCTGCATGTTTTTGAGTTCGAAATACATATACTCCAAATCGTCTAAGTACATATTAGAGAAATCAGCTTCACTAAACCTCCAAATTTGACCATCCTGTCTTGTGACAGTAAACACAGGATACCAAATCTTTCGGAGTCTCTGAGCATCTATTTGTTTGATAGWGACGATTWTGTGYTTGGTACGAACCTGACTGATGGGCTGACATTTAGACTTCAGCAAATGTCTATATTCAGTTCTRAATTCCTTTGGCTTTTTGTGGATTCCCAAGACTCTGTCACCACTTATCAGCTTTCTGTGGCGAATGAAAATACCAAAGTAAATATCTTCTAGATACGRCTCTCGGATTCGATCACGATCATAACCGAAATAGTTTGCTCTGATGTGAAAAGGAATATATTTCTCTGTGAAGATYTCTGTAGGATCAACAGTTGGCTTTGGAGCACTCGATTCAGGCTCAGTAGGTAGATCGGTAGATAGAGATTCTGGAGTAGGCTGTGGAACGTCTTGAATAGGAAACTCTGACTCTTCTTCTTCTATATCATCTTCAAAATCAAARTATAGCCCAGTAGTTTCATCAATGTTCTCCACATCTTCACCAAAATCCTGCTCTCCACCCAAAGAAGATGTAAAAATACTGTTGAASCCTACATTGGCTGACAAGTCCATAAGCAGCCTTGTTTCTACTGTGGAGTCCGCCGGCTTTTCAWCCATTGGCTCGATCATTGGACTTGTCACCACTTCATCATCTATAATCACAATTGCCTCATTTGTT